GGACTAATTGTCGCCAGTGTCTACATTAACCTTTGATATCCCCATACTTTGATCCCTTAATAAAAACTTTAATTAAACTTATTCTCAGACACTTAACCATGCAATAAACTTAACCGCTACTTATAGCTAAGCATAAAATTACGCAATAAATCTTCTTGTTACTTTTTATTACTTATAAAATAATTTTATTCTCATTTCTAATAAAAATTTGTATAAAAATATAGGTATAATGTATAAATAATCACAGTTAGTTATTACTTGACTACCTATCACTATAATATGAGTGTATAAGATTGCTGTTAAGTTAATCAATTTTATATTGTTGTTCTTGCTGTCTTTTCCCTGTGAATTAATCTCTGTGCAATTGTTATATAGTCCCTACATCTATTTAATGAAGTTTCGAAATCCTAGAACTATAAAAATGGAATTAGATTTTGATAAAAGATTTTACAAAATAACTTCTTCTGGAATGTAAAGTACTTAATCGGGGATGTCATTCTCGTATCTACAATCCCGCGAACAAGATGACGACGCACTTCTAACCACTAAAGCCTACAAAAAACCACATTCACAAACTACGTGTCCACATAAAATGCTAATCCAGTTCCAGAATGACACAAATAAACCAATTAACACGTTCGCGGACGCGCTGGTTATGACAGTCATTAGGAACTTGCGCAGAATGACGCGCCGGCTATACCCTTCGATATTTTTTTGTGCTCTAGAAGCACAACTGCTTTAGCAGACGAATTTCCATACTGCTACCATATAGTTCATCATCTAGTGCCACCAAATTAAATTATTCGAATTGCTAGGTGTCACGTAACATGTCTTTTTACCGCTTCCAACGTACTACTATTTGGAACATTTGTGTGCCCACTCACACTGACGCAGCGGTCATAGCAGCGGCCATTGTATGAGAATTTGTTCCGTTGGCTGCGGAGTGCACCGCGGACTGCACACGTCAGGAACGTAATTTACGCGCGGTTTTTGACCAACATTTATGGTAAGTAGAATTGATTTTTATGATTAAATAATTAGATTACCTATATTAGTAATATTTAAATGAAACGTAGGTACTTTAGAACATAATAATGTATATAAATACAAATGCTACTAATATTATAAATGCGAAAGTTTGTGAGGCTGTATGTAGGTATGTTCTCTTTCACGCAAAAACCACAGAAAGGATTTGGCTAAAATTTGGTACAGAGATAGTTTATAACCTGGATTAACACATCGGATAGGTTTTTATCCCAAATTCATGTTCCCGTGGGATAATTTTCGAGTTGTAGTGGGTGAAGCCGCTGCGCTGGCAATAGCTAGTATTGATAAATCATTGTTAATATAAGGTTTCAAAAAATAATTTATCCTAAAATATTGATGTAAACAACTTCTACTTATAAATTCTACTTTTCAGATGTCTCGACAACGACTGAGTGGAGGTAAACCAAAAATAACGATCCATACGAACGAGGAAATGAACGCATTATGAAATTGTTCAATGATACCTCATCAGATGAGTTATCTTAATCTTCTTAAGATTAAAATTATATTAAAGATTTTAATTGCAATGTCGTTTAGAATGATTAAAATTAAGGAAAGTTTATGTTGTGATTAAAAGGGTAATTTTTATATTGAAATAACTATTGTAATGTCGATGTAATTTTTCCTACATTAAAATAAATAAAACCTTGTGTTTTTATTATCTACTGGTGTTCTTTTTATCATAATTATTTTGAAACTTTGTAGAAGGGGTTAATAATATTGAAGGCTATAGTCGCAGTATGCTGTATTTGAGTAAAATAACCGTTTACTACTGACGTAACGACTGATGCCTTTGAAGGCTATAGCCGGTGCGTCCTATTTGTATAGTCAAAGACTACATACCTGTGACGTAACGTTTGGAGCAGGCGAAGGCTATGGCCGGTGCTGTCTTATTTAAATACGTTGTCTTTTTACCGGCGACAGTACGGCTATAGCCTTTCATACAAAAATCTTGTGTCAAGATAGGGTTACAAAATCAAGCAAAGTGTCCGCGAACGTGTTAAATGGATAACTAATAGGCAATCCGCTGTAAGTCAGTGTAATTCAAATCTAAGCTCGCGGCTATAGTTTTAATCCATTAATCTTCGGATAAGTGTAGTTTACAAGACTACATTATTGAGGAAACTATTCGTTTCGGTCTCATTACATCGCTAAATACTTTAAATAATTACTTGAATATTGTAATTACTTGTCAAATGGTTGTAATGTGTTTTAAATCGTGTTGGAGATACGCAATTGCTTGTAGCTATGTTTAGTTTAGTGTGATGAAATTGCTTATAGACATTTCTGAAGTGATTTGAACGTAACCTTTGATGAATGATGATAATATAATTGAAATCCCAAATACAGGAAGGTTGAAAAATAACCTAACATTCAATAAATGACTGAACTCGTGCTATTCGAAAGTGCTCAACTGGTTTCAAGCTACGTTAAGCAGTATCGTGTTTACTATAGGGGCACTCGGGGCCCGTGCCCAGGGCCCCCAACCTCAGAGGGCCCCGAAGGACCGATAATTTCTACGACGCAACTTGTAGTGATTCCCGCACAGAACAAATTTTTGTGTGCACTGCAAGTGGTTGTTCCAGGTCTGAGGGCCATGTGTATGTGAACTTGTATGTTTGTAAGCGCACCCACGACACAGGAGAAAATCCTAATGTGGGGCAACGTTTTATAAAATAAAAAAAAATGAAAAATGTAAGGAAAATATGTTTGTAAAGACACCCACGATACACATTGGCCCACACTAGGATTTTTATACACATGACACCCAGACCCGGAACAACAATTTCTGAATCACATAGAGTTGCACCGTGCGGGAATTGAACCCGCGACACGTGGCGTGGCAGCCGGTTGCCCAGCCACCGCACTAACCGTGTCGTAATTTATTGTGGGCAATGTTAAAAAAAACAAAAAACATTACAAAAGGCTCCGAATTATTATGAATGTGTGCTCGAGGGTCCCTGACATAATGATTAGTTGTGTGTCGACTGATGTACCGTAACGAGTATATTGTAATTAAATAACAAAAATATATACCCTTGAAAGCTGTGCTGTATAATTAGTAGTTCCGAGTCACAATTTAGAGTTCAGTTTAAAAGAAATTAAACGAAAATTAAACGTTGTCGTGGTGGCCCGGAGGTTTAAGACGCCCACTTCTCATGCATGAGGGTGCGAGTTCGAAACCTACCAACGGCAAGTACCAATGTGACTTTTTCCGAGTTATATGTACTTTCTAAGATTATTTAGACACCACTGACAAACGGTGAAGGAAAAACATCGTGAGGAAACCTGGACTTATAATTTCTAATTATAAGTTTGAAATC